ATGATGCGCTCTGATGTTAGGCTAACTTTGGTGCTAAAATTTTGCCAGTGTGTTCTCCAGCCAAGTCCATCCCAAGAACGTGATATCAACTATCACGCACGTCTACATCTGACGTACGGGCAAGTGAAAGTTGCTAACTTAGGGACAAGAACAGCTAGAAAGCTGAAACTTTAGGGGGAAATGCTCACTGCTTACGTACGACCAGAAGATTTTAAACTGAGCTCCTTCGAACCGTCCGTGCCTCAAGTGTGGATACGAAAGAGTTTTGGCGAAAAAATTTCCAACTTGAGAACGAGGAAAGCTAGAAAGCTGAAACTTTATCCTCTGTCCAAGTGCAACTTAAATATTTCAAGTCCAGCCCTCAGATATACGCGGTTCTTATGTATGAGCACGTGAAAGATTTGGTGGGAGAACTGTTAATTCGGTAACCGGAAAAGCTGGAAGGCTGAAATTTTGGGGGGATGTTCCCTGTCCAAGTACAACTCAAATTTTTCAAATTCAGCCCCAAACTTTGCGTGGTACTCACGTAAGGGCATATGAAAGTTTCTGCAGGAAAATTACTAACTCGACAACCAGAAAAACTGCAAGACTGAAATTTTAGGGGGATGTTTCCTGTCCATGTGCAATTTAAAAATTTCAAATTCAGCTTCCCAGGCACGTAGAGCACCCACGTACGGGTAGGTGAAAGTTTTGGCGGGAGAATTGCTAACTCGGTAACCTGAAAAGCCGGAAAGCTGAAATTTCGAGGGAATGTTCCCTGTTCAAGTACAACTCAAATATTTCAAATTCAGCATTGAGTTATGCGTAGTTTTTACGTACAAGCACCTAAAAGTTTTGGCGGAAAATTTTTCACTGAGCAGCTAGGTTACTTTTAAAGAATGACCGTTAAATGGAAACTGTACGTTTAATTTATGCAAAATTTATGGTGGTTTATGTTAGTGACCGCGAAAGTTAGGTGTAAAGCAAAAGCCATTCATGCAGTTAATGACCTGAGTACTTCAATTCCAGTGCAAAAACGCACGATCACACGGGCCCGCCCGTTGCGTTCCAGCCTGGGTTTAAAATGGGTTAGAAGGAAGGCTAGTTTTCCTTCGA